TGGGGTTGGGTCATTGCATCGACTCAAACTCCACCGCGCCGCACGGAACTTGAATTCAAAATTACGCAGTCGATTCGTCATTATTCTTCCTGATCCTAACTTGGCATAACCGCGGGGCGGTGGCTTCTTATCTTTCTGATACGATGGTCTGGCCCTGCCCCGATTCCGAACTTGGCCTAGTCTTACACAGGTTTCTTCGGGTTGCCGATTCCTGGACCGCCATCGACCCATCATCCAGTCAAAGACCTTCATTCATGTGCCAAGACTGGCCTTAGATCCATTGATTCGCTTGGCGGTACTTGGTATTAACACCGATTTCGTACACCTGCAGCGGCTTATTCAAGTAAACGCCACCCTCAGGCTCTTTGTAGTACTAGCCCCACGTTACCGGGCGCCTCTGCTCAAAAGTCAAATGCTTCGATCTACTAACAAATCTACCCTACTTGCGGCGCTAGTGCGCTTTTAATGCGGTATGGATCCTAATATATGATTCATCCAGGTAATGATGTTTCCAAGCTCACAATACATAAAATACTAATACACAACTCTGGAATACGACAAATGCATGCGACGGGGATATACAAAGCTCAAAATATAAATTGCTCTCCGTTACCAGAGAAATACTTCAAACAGACCTTCCATAAGATGGCTCGACACAAATTACCTCATCCACCCGCCTCTTGAGCCACTCCAGTACGTCCGGTCCCACCGACGCGCAGTCGTGCAGCTCAATGTGCCGAAGCTTCGAAGGTGTCACACCGTGCACCATCGTAGCAGTTCCCGTTTCTGGATTGCGAGCCTCGATAAGCTGTACAAGTTTCGCGATCCCATCTGGATGCGTATGGCAGCTCTTCATCGTCACCGTTTTCAGATTAGGGCAAATCCAGTGTGCCAGCTCGTCCTCGGGCGTTCCCAGCGCTACTAGGAAAGGTTCGAGCGGCGTCCCCCCAACGCTCAGCGAGTGAAGGTGGTTCATCTCTGCCAAGAAATTCCACGCAATGACGATGCCTCCGGGGCCATAATAAAGCGCCGAGTTGTTGGCATTCCCATATGACACCGACAGCTCAGTCACAGGTGGATTATTTGATCGCTGGAGTAGATTCGTGATGACGTCTTCAATGGGGTCTCGTGCTTCAATATCGAGGCTCAGCACGTCCAGCGTGGGGAGGACGAGTGCATCCGTAAGCGTTGACATGTGGTAATGGCCTCCAAAAGTAAGTTCGCGGAGCTTTGGTAGGCACGTGGTGTGTAGCGGAAGGATGGCTGGCACGACGACGGCAAAGTGAAGGGTAAGAGATTCGAGATTTTGGTTATTCGAGATGATGTGTAAGATCCGATCCAATGGTAGATGGTTGGATGGAAGTGAACGAAGGTTGAGAGATCGCAAGTTGGTCTTGAAAATAGGAGAAGACCACTTGAATGGTACATGATGTAGCATGAGGGATTGTAGCTGGGATAAGGTTACGGGGGTCGACGGAGTGGTGCAGGGAAGCCAAGCCCATTCGTTGGCGTATATTGTCTCCGCACACGAAATCTCAAACTCTCTTAGCATGGGAGCCTCGCCTACATTATACGATTAAATGAAAATTCTCAATAAAATGCAAGGGTCGCACCATTGATCGACTTGAGCGCAGATATCGAGGGAAATTGCTTGTCGAACCGGAAGACAAATCGTTGCCACCGGTGCATCTGCTCGATCAAGTAGAAGATGGCGATATGTCCCCAATGTGTGTTACGCTGGGTTTGGGGGCAACTCCGCGAGGAAGGGGGCGGAGGAGATGCACCCCAGGCATCGTGGTGGGACGGCGACTGTGGGACGATGATTGGTGTTTGTGCTGGAGGTAAAAGAATGGCAGCGCCTGGCGGGGGATGTAGGACATAGTGCGCCGGAGGGCTGGGTGGGGGTGGGATCCAGGGCGTAGGGGATGATGCTCGAGCGCGACTAGACGGTTCTGCTGAGCTTCCGCTCACCCGCAGGTAGATTTCGATGTCCAGCGGAACTTTGTCACCAGACCGCTCAAGCCAGAGGCGAATGGTGTCTGGAGACGCACTTTGGTTGGTCACGAGGCGTATCTGGGCAGAAGGGTCAGATGCGAGAGTTCAAATCGACACAAGAGCAAATGTAGATGGCATGTAGAGCATACGGCTCGACATACGGCTGCTCAAAGGGAAATGAAGCGCGGTAGATCAAATAACTTCAAGGGGGTATTTACCGCAAAAAAATTCCAGAGAGATATCAGTTGGTAAAAGGTTGGGTTAAAAACACGTTTTTTCATCGATGAATATAGTCGGGCGCCAATATGGATGTGGGGAATAGGAGACACATCCAGACCCAATGCGCGTCAGAGAAAGAGTTGTTACTCACCTTGGACCATAATTTCGGTATTGATAGAGCCAGTCTACGCCACGGGATACAGACAGAGGCGAGGATCCAAGCACAGCATGGGTGATTGTCAAAGTTGAACATGAAGATATGGCGGAGGAGTTCGTTGGGCAACCGCCGTATGGGGGAGATATACGCCAGCGTATGCTTTACTTTTAGCTCCAAAGCATGTTGCTCGCGTTGCATCTCTCGAATCGTGCGCTTCTTGTCGGCGACGATCTGCGAGAGGGCGTCCTCTGCTGAAGTTATGCGTTCAGAGAGTTGCGAGAGCGCTTGGCGTTGTGATTGGAGCGCTCTACGGGCTTCAGAGATGCTTGATTCCGTTGGAGGTTCTGGATGGCTGAGGGGGTCCATGATGGGTGTCGCTGGTGTCGAGGAGAAGAGTAGAGGATAAGTACAAGCCGAAGCGGATGGGAAGAGTCCAATGATGAGCACGTGTGTGCTACCAGGCTCATATCTTTTGTGGGGCGTCACAGCTTCTGCTCACACATGTCCACTTCTATTCAAGTGCCACAGCATTACTCGGATGTATAGCTCATCCAGTACCACAACGGCGCACACTGCGAGCTAATTACAAGACATCTATGGTACAATGCGGACGACGGTGCAGACAGTGCAGGTATGTCACTTCTTTCCAGCCTCTATGGCGTCTCCATTCTTGCATGCAATAATCTTTATTCGTGGTGCCGACACCATCTCGTTCGACTCCATTTTGAAAGACGGGTTCTTGACGATAAACGTCCACACGTCGTCGCAGAGTCGATACGTGTGCAAGTGACCCTAAACACACAACATGAGCGAACAACTACGAACAAAGACGGGACTGGTACTTTGAGCGTCGTCTTGGTCTTCACCTGCTTGACCATCGTGTCTGCAAGGGATTTGTCAAACTAGACGGTCGTCAGCGTGCTTGGTCGTGGGGTGCAATGCCACATGCAGAACCTGTTGCAAGACCTTCATCGCCAGCTGTGGCGTGATGGCACCGCTCGTGATGAGCTCGTCCAGCGAGTCGGTGAGAGCCATGCCAATGCTACAGGGCCATTGAAGGGATCCGTGTGCGACCGAGTAAATTTTTATACGTACGATGATCCTCTGTAGAATTCATAGTATGCAGAGGCCATGTTGGACCGTTCCAAGTGGTCGATGCTTGCAAAGCACACCGCACACCGCCTCCTCTTGTGTGACGCGTGATGGTCACGCTGACTAGCATATTTGGAATCCTTCCAAAGCCCTTCCAAATGGTGAGATGGCCGAGCGGTCTAAGGCGCCAGACTAAGGATCAGGTCATTGAGATGACCAAGTATATCTGGTCCGAAAGGGCGTGGGTTCGAATCCCACTCTCATCAATAATTTTTGACACTCTGGGGAAACTACTCCATATGCTGGCTAATCCAAGGCACCCACCCCCGTGAGACGGCAGTCGACATGTGGCGATGAGGAACTCCCGATTTTCGTCCATGCATCTGCTCACAGTAATCCCAGAGGTCGCTGCAATACATCACATTTCACCCAACTTCCTTTTCCCGGCAGGAACGTGTCAGATGGCGACATCGAATTCTCTGATGGCGTCTGTCTTGAGTCGGACTCTTGACCCCATACCCTACACAGCATGACAAACACCCGCGTCGTGAAATGTGTGCACACAGGGGGAAATGATGGGGTTGCGTGATTCGCGCCAGCTTTCCGGTCCCGCACGATCTCGACACGTCGTCGAGGCACTGATCACAAAAATGCATTATGCATGGACACAATACCTACATCCTCGACCGAAATGGAAGAGGGTGGGTGCAAGTGACTGGAATCTTGTCATGTTCAAGGCGCCAAATTATGCTGACGCCAACGGACCGTGACCATTGCGTTTACGGGATGGATCGCGATCGGCATGCACACGCTTTGATCGCATACTTTTGTCGTGTCGACAGCATCGATTTTCAAACAATGGTCAGTGCATGGGCTCAGTACGTGTCGTACCACGTGTCCTCTCGTCGTCCGTCCTTGGATAACCATAGACAATTATCTGATCAGACTGCGTCGTGAGAGATTCCCCACAAGCACAATCGACAGGTCATTCACGTCATTATCTCGGGCCTCGGCTTATGGGATGCAGATCGCTCTTACAACGAGACCTGTGGCGGTGGAAGCGATTCGGAAGGGAAAGCACGGCCGCGAAAGGGAAAAAACTCACTTTCTTCTGTCCCGGAAAACCCAAGAGTAGATAGAATGCGCAACTCGTAAAAAGGTGTGACGAGAGTGGGATTCGAACCCACGCCCTTTCGGACCAGATATGCTGGGTCATCTAATGACCTGGTCCTTAGTCTGGCGCCTTAGACCGCTCGGCCATCTCGCCAATGAAATTGATGGGGAAAGAGCCCTGAGAACTGCACAGAGCATCGGCGTGCTAAAGAAAAATTCATACCCGATCTCCGCTCGGAGTCGAGGGGATCACGATCACGATGTCGTGAAGCATTGGCGTTGGGGGTTTCACGGACACGTAGTTACTATTAACCCGCCACAAGACTGCATAGGCTTAGCCTAAGGGAGGGGGGTCTACTTGGAAGCGACAGTACGAGCTGTATTTCGGGATTCAACAACGACACAATGGGCGGGGAAAAAGTTGTGATGAGAGTGGGATTCGAACCCACGCCCTTTCGGACCAGATATTCCGTGGTCATCCAATGACCTAGTCCTTAGTCTGGCGCCTTAGACCGCTCGGCCATCTCACCGATGAGTTGCGCTGCAAAAAAGGCATCCCTGACCCGTGGTTAATGGTCGATCACTGTCAAGCGGCTCAAGCCGAATCGATTCACACGTACCAATTCACTCCAGAGGCAGTGGAGAGCTCCGCAACTCGAGTACCATGGTTGGGAATCAGGTCTATCTCGATATTTGCATGGGGGACTCCGAAAAGTTCTTACGCGATCGGGCATCGTACGATCGCGCCCGATCACACCTCGACAAACATGCCGCGAGTTACAGTCTACCGTCCAAACCAGAGGAACTGACCGAGTGGCAAAAAGAGATCGTGCAGGGGATCGATGCATCACAGGGACACGAGACGCCCTTGCTGTTCGAACCCCCGGAACCCCTGTTGGCCGGGCGGCTCGTCTTTGAACTGAGCGCGTCACCCAAGTTGGCAAAGACGACCGCCAACTTTGTCGCGCTCTGTACCGGAGAGAAAGGGGCGTGCAAGAATGTTTCCAATAGGAAGCTTCATTACTTGGAATGCCCTATCCATCGAATCGCCAAGGGCTTTATTGCTCAGGGCGGAGATATACTTCGGGGAGATGGAAGCGGCGGCGAGGTAGGACAACCAGTGCATTGTAGCCTTATCTCTGATCAGATCTCGTGTAGTCCATTTATGGAGGCGATTTTAAAGCTGAGGAAGAAGGTCTCAAGGCGATGCCCCGCAAAGGCTCACTTGGGATGGCGAGTTCCAAGACGGGCACGGGCGCCAGGAACATGTCACAATTCTTCGTCGTGCTCACGGACGACGAAGCTCAGCTGAAGAAGTTGAAAGGTCAGTATGTGATATTCGGCCAGATGAAGAGCGGAGCAGAGGAATTACGCGTACTGGATCGTCTCAGTGAGGTTGGGGGTGACAACGAGAAGCCACTCATTCCCGTCTGGATAGGGGGTTGTGGAACGTGTCAATCGGATTAACGATATAATGTGGGTCAGCAGTGGTGCGTCCCAATGGCGATGCTGAATGGATACAATGATAGCTCCAAGAGTCAGAGCTCCGCACCTTGCCTCTAGTTGTTACATCACGGGTCCCTCCAAAATGCAGTTACCCAACTCAATAGACATCCGCGATTTGGATAGGAATCTGGAATGGCAACGTTTTGCGATTTCAGTGACGGCAATTTCGAGCTTAGCGATAAACTTTCCACTCATCTTGATGCCTTTCCTCAGACCATCGATCAACGGCGCGCCACGGTCTCGGTTGAGCCCGAACGTGCCAGCTGAATATAAGATTCTGCAATTTCTTGCCTCGTGATGGACTAGGATGGACCTAGACCTGTAATTTAAACGAGGACAACGCCGTGACATTTGCCCCTGAATGCACCCACTGATCGGAAAAATGCACAAGTTCCGCTCCACTGTGAGATGAGACGACCCTATCGGCTGACCAACTAGAACCCGGTGTGTGTATGAGAGACGTAAATTGACGGTACGCTCTACCGCATCGGTCGAAAAGTGCTCGCATACAATGATTAGGTGACCCTTGGACTCATCAAGAAACAAGGTTCGAGTCCCAATCATGGGTCACCATCGTTGCCGCTCCACGCGAACGGGCACTACTGATTTCAGTGAGCAGTCCTTCATGAACTAGCCGCGGCCCGCGGCCTCGTGTGACACAGATTGATGCATGCGGCCGAAGTGTAATTATCAGCGAGGCAAGTGAGGAACGGCGAAGTGGATAAGTAATACTCCTCCGAGTTTGAAAGCTTATTCACCTGCGTAGATGTAAGAGAGATAAGAATCAATTGATTGATTGATTAACAGGACGGATGTGAGTACAGCTCAATAGTACGTTGCACTGATCCTAACGCTTGCTGAATAGGACCACAGTGGACTATCATACGTGCCGATCCACCATGGCTGACTTACGGATCAAATACCGTTGAAAACTCATGCCTTGAAAATCCGAGAGCAGTATGTTCCAATTAAAGAAAGAATATAGACTACTGTAATTTTGGGGTTCCGAGGCACGACCCACGATCCAAGTCAGTGAACATGACAGCGGTTATAGTCCAGCGGCACTGTTGCATGTGTGAACCCTTTATTCGCTCAGATAGAAAGGAAAACAGACTCACGTGACCCTCCTCTTGGGTGATATATGTACGTGTTCGTCTTCGGTGTGTTCAGGGATGTTTAAATGATGTAGCAGATCGCTTTCTGGGCCACCCATCCGCTCACAAATTTGCAACGCTGTTGCATGAAACTCCTCGGGAACCCCGCTTGATCTCTCAGGCAACAAAAGATGGGGAAGTATTCGCGTGTGGAATAATTGATGAGTAACGGAGCCACCCTATGATGATGAGAAAAGGTCGCCACCGCGTCGTCAAACACTGTAGACGTCACAGCAAAGGAAATCGAGCACATACAAATTGATGATAAGCACCCCCCACGACAGCCTGAACGGCTTCACCCATCACTTTATACAGCCCAACACTCTTTGCAATACCCGGAGATGCTGTCAATGCTTGGTCCAGTTCGGAATCCGGATTTTGGATTTGAGCGGTCCGAAGAGTTTCCTTTGGAGCTGTTGGGACCCACAGGAGCACGCGACCAAGAGACCACCGAGGTGCAACATGTTCTCCAAGGAAGTACGTGTTTAGAGCGCGTGAAGTCAATCGGTCATAATCGTGATGTGCGCGGCCTTGTGTAGCTTCGTGGACGAACAATAGGTAATATGATTCCAAGACACGGCGGCCTATCGATGTCCGTGTTAGAGAATCAAACGTTAACCACAAGTGCGAGAAAGCCATTCTGGTTGAATAAATACCCACCGATGAACCCCAGGCGACCGTTGTGCCCATGAATAGCAGCTTTGTGACTGCCATGGGTGAGCATCCGCCTTGCTAACTCCGGAGGAAACTCCAAGGAACGGAAGACGGAATTAAGATGAGCAGCAAACCGCGCGTCGTCATCTGGCCTTCTTGAGTCAGCGTGAGATGATGGGTGGTCTTCTGAGATAGACTGTGCATGTCGTGTCGAGAAATTAGCCTGCACTGGGGGTGTCCGGGGTGGGGCGATCGCCGAGGGTTTTAATAAGCTCTGAGAAGGCTGAAGCAGAGAATGGATAACTCGGGGAAGACGAGACATGGTGAGCTACAAACTTGCAACGGACCTAGACAGAGCTGGGGCTTGGAATTGAAGCTCACGCGAGAAGTGTCACTATGCAATTTGCAAAGCCGTGAAAAAGTCATAGCAAGTCACGTGCCTTCCATGGTCAAAACGCACAGCCCATGATTCACCACCAAATACTAATCTCATCCCACCACGGACGTCGAGGACTCTTCGGCACGGCTGTAATGACAAGCTAATGCAGGTATTAATTACATCTAAACTAGAAGAGCCGATCCAGACTCGCCACGAAGGCTTCAACACTAGTACAGTAGGGCGACCCTAGCACGCCGTCCATCTGCCAGTGAACCGACAACGTGGTTGACACGCGTCAACGGTTATCTCCAAGAACTATCGATCTAACGGCGCGAGTACCCTTCATCGGATTCTCCGTTTCTCCGACTCGAATATTAGAAACAGACCTCGAGCGCCTTTCCGGTCAACTGGGAATCATCTGGTATTAGCCATTGGCTTCTACTCTGCTCTCACATACGAATCGACGAGGATAGCATCTATCTACTAACTTACCTACAGTTCGGATCTCCGAAAAGCCGTCGTGTACTTCCTTCGACAGGTCCCCATTATGTATCCCGATCTGGAAGTTGCTTCAACTCATCGCCAACGGACCTCAATATCATCTAGAATGGAAGGTATCAGCGTTGATGCAGACAGGTTTGATACCACGAGGCCATGAATTTCTCTGGGTCACATCTGATTGCCAACTGAGTTCTTCCGTAATGCTTCTCCCACCAGTGCCGTTGGGCTGAATTGACTTTGATCACACTGACGGAGAAAGTGTAAACTTGGTTCAAGCAATCGGTGATCAGTGCTGCGCGGTTGCGAGAGGCGTAAAACCCGCAATTCCAGGGTGCACGTTTGCACGGCCCTGGACACACAGTTCCGAAACACACCCGGCCTTGTGGATTCCTCCGTCTGTTTCCGTGTACATGTCTCCAATGCTTGAATGTATTGCATTTGGAGGCGCCGGTGTTTCGATGCACGGTATAAAGCCGAGAAGAAATCCATCTGTGTCTCCATCCAGGTCCCCGTTCTTCTCTTCCTCAGATCTACTCAGCTAACCACCCACTTCTCACAATGAACTTCAATGCTCTGCCCACCTTATCATTCACTCCGACCTCAGTCAGCTTCCCCTTTGAACCCAAGCAGCTGTCGCTGCGGGACAAAGTCAGAGTACAGTTGGAATCTCAATCCGATATCACACCCTCGTCGTCCAACGGCATCTTCCCAAGAGGTCCCCTTTCGCTGAGTGCACCGCACGCGGAAGTCTGGATACAGGGAAAACAGGTTTGACCCTGCTTCCGTTCTTTACCAGATGCTGATAAGCGGAATCAGGTGCTCATCAGAGATCGTTCTTCGGCGTATGGTACCTATGTTAACGGTATCCGAATACAACACCAAACGTTGCTACAAGACGGTGATGTTGTGGTCCGTTATCTCACTCTATGTCAATCATCGATTGTCCTCATCTCTACTTGTAGACACTGGGGCAACAGCTATCTCGTGCATTAGAACCTCCAAACACTCGTGATTGCCAACTAACTCCCATCGAGGCATCTGTCACCATCGTTGGAGTATGACGTGGAGTTGTAGGTCCCCTTTTGTGCACCATCCCCTCTAGATTTCCCTCCAGAATATCTCCATGGATCTTCGCATTACTGTCCGTCTCTGTAACTATTTAATACTTGTAGCGCCGGACAGCATCTACCTGTACACTGGTGTACCCCTACGATATGTACTTTTATGCTGGTGCGCCACGTTTCACTTGGAACGGAATACCATGTTTTGTTAGATTTACGACGCGCTCAGTCTCGATCGCTGAGCGTCTGCCGGGGCGGGGACGAGCTTACAGTCT